TCAGATATCTGCTAACCACTGGTGGTAAAGGCTTGTGTTCTAGCACAGTTTTGGGGGGTTGGAGTGGCCATGGCTGTGCAAAAGCAGGACTGTGGGTAATGCGGCTAAAGGGCTGATCGTGCAGAAGGGGAGGGTCAGCCTCGCCGGCCTCTGGAAGGATTCGGAGCAGTCTCTTAACAAAAGCCCAGTGCTGGAGACCTACCAGAGCAGCCTCGCTGGAGGTGGGTACTTGTGCCTTTGCATGTAATGTCTTTGACATAACTTGTCCCTTGCTGGGCTGCAGGGCAGTGTCTGGCTCCGCTTGGGACTCCCTCTCAAGAGCTCTTACTTAAAAGCAGACATGGCCAGGAGATGTGGATGTTGTAAGACCCATGCTGACCTCTTGGCAGTTCTGGAGCTGTGGTAGGAAGAGGCAGGTGTTGCTGCTTGGCTTCTTTAAGTCCTTGGTGCTGAGTACCTGGCTGTGCTTGCACTCGGTGTGTGTCTCTTCCGGGAGACACAGCTGTGTAAGGACTGCTTTAGAGCCACCGAGGACTCAAGCACTAAATGGGTTTGTCCTTGTCCCTCCCTCCTCCTGTGTGGGAAGCTATGCTGGGTTCCTCCTCTCTAAGGGATGGCCTAGATGGTCTTGTCCCTCCTGGCACAAATCCTGTTTTCCATGGCCCTCCTCCATCTCAGCTGGGTGTTTGGACTGGGGACATCCCCAGAGGGGGCAGGGATGGGGAAGGAAAAGCGTTTTCTGCACAGCCTCTAGTGGCGTGACCCTGTTGTGCTGTCCTAGGTGAGAGCTCCTCCCTGCTTCTCTGTGTGTGTGTCCAGTTGAGATCAGCCATCCTGGGTGAGATTGTTCTCATCTGGTGTCGCCTCTCAAGAGGCTGGTAGTGGAATCTAAGAGCGAGAATAAGGGTAAGGTATTCCTGGAGATCTGCTGCTGTATCTTCTCCAAGCTTTTGCTGAACATGCAGTTTGGCCCAGGCAGTTCCTCATCTAGCCCTGGATGTTTGGTTTTTTTTTTTGTTCTCTGGCTTTTCTAGGTGCTCTGTGGGGAGGCTGAATATCTACATGGATCCAGCATTTGATGGCAGGGAGTTGAAGCAGGGCAAATACATTTAAGCAGAAGCTTACCCTGTCTTGGCATGTTGAGTGCAGGGGCTGGAAGCCTGGATTCATCAGCCCTGGGTAGTCCTGGTGGCCCTCTCAAAGCCTGTAGAACTTGGGCTGCAAAGGAGTGACTGGGGAGTCCCAGTTTGGTTAATTCACTGCAAGATGCTTGTCCAGACCCTGTTGTCTTCATCTACGATTTCCTCTCTTTGAGAGCAGGGGGAAGAGGCTGGACCAGGGCTGCCTAAGTGCACAATATACTCAGACTGGCAAGTTGCCTCCTGTTTTTCTTCTGTGGGATAACCCAGATCTCCTTTGCTTTCTGTTTGTTGCTGATCCCATGTTTACATCTGGTCTCAGAAGCAATCTCCCTCTGGCTTGCCTCACTCTGTCCCTTGAATGTATCTCTCTGGTCTGTCACCAGCCTCACCTTCCCTTCCCTGAATAACTTGGTCTCACTTTCCCCTTACCCTTTTCTAGATCACTCATGGATCTGCTGAATTGCAGAGATCTTGGAAAACCAACTACTTGGTCTCGTGGCTTCTAACAAGCTCTTCTGAGACTTTCCTTAGTCTGTCTTGAGACCCTTGGGCAAACCTTGTTTAAAGATGCTAGCTGGTGGCTTTTGGGACTGCCCAACTTTATTTGGGGCAATGCTAGCCCTTGGCAGATGGTGTAGGTTGGCTGGGATCCCCTTTCCAATGCTATGTATGGTGGCAGTCTGGACCTGGAGGCCAGGGGAAGCTTTTGGCCTGTGAGAGAAGGCCTCTTGCTGCCATCCCTGGCAGCAACTTATGGGGCTGGCATTAGGAGCTTGTTACCTCCGACAAAGAGCTTTCCTAGGCACCTGCGTTGCTCTTTTCAGGCTGTTGTAAGGGCTCAGAGTAGCTGACTTCCCCTTCCCTGAGCAACATGCATCTTCCATTCTGTCACGCCTGTCGCAAGGACTTACTGAGAGACACATCATGGGACCATTTAGAGACCCAACAGGGATGCAGATTTCTATCTGCTTGGAAGAAACATCCATTCTGTGGTCTGAGCACACTCTGATCCTGAAATATTGAAAAGGGATGGTGCTTTCACATGGCTGAGGCACATGTGTGCCACCACACTCTGCACAGTCCTCCCCTGCAAGAGATGGCCTTGCGTCTTCTGGGAATGCACGGCAGGCACTCCATGTAGCTCACGCTGAAGCGCAGGCGCCAAAGTCTTCGAGGCAGCCAGCAGACCAAGGGACAGTGCCATTGCCTGCTCTGTTTGGGCATGAGGTGGCCCTTGAGTGACGCATCGAAGCATCACATAAGGGGCTGGGCTGGGTGAGGAGACTGTAGGGCTGAGCCTGGGCATGGAAAGTGTTTCTGGAGTGCTCCAGATAGCATCCTGCTTCCCTAGGCAGGGCGAAGCAAAAGCTGGGGTGTGTGGTAGGGCCATCCATACTGAGGGATCAGGGGAGGGGAGGGGAAGGGTTCCAGTGTTGGAGGGAAGGATGCTCTGTGATGGTGTTCTGCAGCAGTCTTGAGATGTGCCAGGCTGGAGAAGGGCTCTGCACACTAATGGGGAGTGGTACCAGCCCACCGGGGTGTTCACTGGCTGTCGGCAGCCCTTAGTCTCACCATGCATGGAGAGCAAGAGGGGCAGAGAGCCCCAAGACTTTCATGATCGCCGTCCATCCTGCAGGGCTTAATCTGCCCCCTGAGTTGATGTGAAGGGTGTCTCTCTGGGAGGACTTTCTTGGGCCCACGAGTACAAGGAGGTGTGTGTTTTCTCCTGTAAACAGAAGAAACTTCCCTGCTTGGAGGAGTCTGACTCTGGCTGCACCCAAAGAGTTAAAGGGTGCAGAGGCTGTGCTGCACACTCCTGTGTTTTCAGGTGGCCACTGTCTCCAGCCCAGAAGCAGGGCAAGCATGTGCTGCTTGTTTTGATGGCAAAAGAGGTTTGAAGAAGTGTCAGATACAACTCACTTTGGGGAAGGGGAAATAGCTGAGCAAAAACTAAAATGTGGGAGCAGAGTGCTTCTGCCCTGCAAAGGTCATGAGGTCACTCCAGACTGGAAACAGGCCAGGAGACGGGCTGTGGCTTACAGCCCCTGATCCTGGTGTGTGTTTTGCAGCTCAAAAGCATCTGATGCTGTTTGGTGCCATTCTGAGCATTTGGGCAACAGTGCTGTCCCATGACCTTCTTGTGGCTTGTTTGGGACTGGCTTGGTGGGTGGCATCCCCATGCATCCCCCAAGTGAGGAACACAGAGCTCCATCTCCTTCCCAGTCTTCTGTCTTCCCTTGCCTATCTGTCAGTGCTGGCCGAGCTGTGCTTGTGGTCACCCGGTCCTTGTTAATGATGACTGGTGTCTTGGTGACCTCTGTTGTGCATAACTTCCCTTTCCAGCTCTGTGCTGATTTAAAAGAAGTCTTGGCTGCTTCATCATGCTGCTTCCTATGGAAACAGGCTGATGGCCAATGTCTCCCAGTGCAGGGAGAACGTGGCCATGATGGACTGTTGAGCAGAGTTCTCGTTCTCTCAGGCCACAAGCTTTCAGCACTGTTTCTTCCTGGCTATTCATGTGAACTGTTACAGATCATTTCAACAGACTATTGAAATCTTCCTCTGGTACTGTGTTTTTGCTTATACATGCTGAGTGCTTTTGGACCTGGTGTGTGACTCCTACAGCTTGGAAAGAGCAGTAGCCTACCCAGGCTTGGTACAGCACAGCTGGCTTTTGGCTGGGCACAATAGAACAAACAGTAAGAGCTGTTTTGGGAGCAACTTCTGAAGGGTTTGATGTGTGTTGGTGAAGGAGCTGGGATGGGCCCAAAAATAATTCTCAGTGATGTTCTGGGGCTTTTGCAAGTCAAAAAATGTGAGTATAGCAGTGAGGTATTTTTCAAAATTGAGGGCTGTGTTTGAATCGATGGCTGAAATAAAGTGCCAGTATAGGCTAAGGAAAGGAGATCTAGTGTATGATCTGTAGAAAGAGCTAGAGATTCATCTGGGGTTTTTACTTGTCTCTTTTGGACCTTTGATATCTGTCAAACTCTGTGTTAGTGCTTTTGGCAGTATATGGTCTAGCAGTCTTCTCAAGTTTGTCATCAAGGTCCAGTCAGACTGGGGCTGGTGTCCATGCCCTAATCAACCCAGACTAGTCTGCTAGAGACTGAATTTTTGTAAATGTCTAAATCCTGTGTGCCAGGGAGGAAAGGACTGGGTG